TTTTTTTCTACAAAACACAGTCCAAGTAATTAGCTTACAGATATCCCTGAACAACATAGCAACACAATACGTTTGTAGGTATGAACTTTTCCTTTCCTATCATATCACAGCAGTAAGTATTCTCAATAAATATTGCACAAAGTAGGAACAGAACTGGAGGAGAAGTAGGGAAAACCAGATGCTTGCTAGAGGCAAATTATCTCACACTCAACCTGCATCTCAACATAGAAGAGCTAAAGAAGTTATTTGGGTAGTCTTGAGTGCCAGCTATTTACTTATTTTTCTGACTTACTGTAGCTTGGTTGGTTTTATAGGTGTACACACTATCAGAATGAGATTAGTCCCATACATGTTTAAAACAAACAAACAAACAAACAAACAAACAAACAAACAAACAAACAAACAAAAAACAACAATGCAAGGTGAAGAAAGAAAATGAATATCCTTATCTATTGCAACCATTGGAATGGAGTCTGAAATGAAAATTAATCTTTTTAAAAGATCTAGATAGCTTTATTCAGAAGTTTAAAATAATTTGTTCACTAAAGAATCTGGCGTACTACATTCAACTGTGTTTTCTTCTTATTTTATTTTTGTCTTTAAGATTTCTTTTACATTTAAGTTTATAATGCAAAGGGTATAAAATATATACCTAAATAGAAGCATCATGATGTGTCATAGACACAGCAATTTAGAAATTGAGAGGACCATCTGGATAGGATCAAAGAGATCTGGCTTCCAGATCAGATTTAAGCAAGTAATTAAATCTAGTCATATAATGTCTAATGAGTTTTCTTGCCTTCTGTAGTTGGAAGATGTTAATATTGAAATCTCAGAAATAACTCCTCAGAAAGAGAAATGTCAAGCTGAGTGTTGGCATTCTCTGATACAATGATGTCACTGCTCGATGGATCATTCTTGGCAGGCATGAATCACTTTGTGCATCATAACAAATAAGAGCATTCAAAATTTCTGGTATACTACATTCAACTGTGTTTTCTTCTTATAGTATATGTTCTTTTCTTCAAGCTTGATATACGTCTCAAAATAAATCATAAATTTATGTAAAATATGACCATGGTTTATACTAACAGAGAAAGAAAATAAGGAAAAGAACAAAACATTAAATATATATATATTTTTTATTTCTGTATCTTTCCAAAATACTCATGACCACAAATATACCAGCCAGGCCAGTTTCCTTTGATGGGAAGTACAATTTGCAAAGTGCTACAGCTCCATGGCTCTTCCTGTATGAAAGAAACCAATTGGGCTGAGCAAGACCTGCTGCCACAGATCCAGATTCATATACAAGCATGGCACATACTGACAATACTGGGGTGAGGAGTGGAAATGCAACAAACTTTTTTGCATGTGGACTCCTGTGCAAAATAAATGCACATGCTCAGGTAGAAACCACAGCATTCTCTGAATTAGCTGGTGATACAGCTGATCAGTAATATATTACGTATGTATGTCACTCTGAAAGTAATGTCTCCTCTTTATTTCCATGGAAACTACAATAAATAGAAAGAACAAAAAAACAGTATTTGACCAAATTCTCAGCTAGAGGACATTATTTTTCAGTATAGTCACCACCATTATATGATCTGTGGGGATGAGCTGATCTATATGCTCTTAATTTGGTGGTATGACAGACGTGTGTGGCTCTCTGGGATGTGTATTGTTCTTCACATCACTGTCACCACTGTTGAAACACACCACCCACCTCCTCACTGAGCTCACGTCCACTATTTGGTCTTCATAAATGTTCAGCAAGTGTTGACAAATGGTAATGGGTGCCTTTTTTCCACAGGGAGGAGTTCTATCCCTCCTCTTTGATTCATTCACACTTCCATGTCAGAAGCCATCTTGTCAGACTGCCCCTCTGTTGCCATTTGTCAAATGGCAACAAAACATAATGCAGTATTGGTGACAAGGTTCAGTTTCTACTGCCATACCACCACCATCTGTCTCTGATGTCTTGGACCAATATTATAAAGTAGGAGGTACTATTTTGCAGCAGCTCTCATATATATAGACACAGTCTTTAAAATTTTAATTGTAGCATAAGAAAATATTTGCAGTTTCCTGATTTTCCCACAAGGACGTTTCTACACAAAGTCAGTGATGCTCATACTGTCATTCATTTTTCTTTCAGTATGATTCAGGTGAGCAGGATACACAGGATTTATCCATATTCAAGTCTCCATTAACTCAAACAAATAGCCTTAGTTCTTGCATCAGTGTTGGTAAATACAGTCTACTGTATCGTGTGCTGATAATCACAATGTTATACGTACATCAATAAAATTACTATTACAAAGCAAAGAGATTTCTTTCATATGGTCTTCATGAGTGATTGTATATTTAAATGGAAAATTATTTGATATCAAAATGAATTAAAGTCCAAAATCTTCCACATGGACTAAGATTTCTTCTGGTGAAATATATGAGGATGTTGGAAAATAGGGGAAAGGAAATCTAGAACTGATAATTTTAAATGGAATATGAAAAGCAAAGTAGTTTTAGAGCCAGTAACAGTTGGTGGATCAATTTCAGAAATAAAATTACCAATCATCCAAGCAGTACAGAGTAATGATACTTGCAAACTGAACTATAAAGACAGAAGAGGAGGTGAGTCTTGGTGGTCTTCTGGATAAATGCATCATTTTTATTCCTTTTCTCGAACTGTGTCCACATGAGATGCTTTCATAAAAGAGCAAAATAGTCCTTTTCTCCATGCCCTTCCAAAGTTAAAGTAGCCAGCTTCCAGAGTTCCTGGTAAATGTCATGTCTGTAATCTTCTGGATAAGTAGACTGAGTGAGGAGTTCCAAGAGGCCAAAATAGGTACTCACAGCTACAAATGAGTATGTGGTGGGGCACAGAAATTAAGCTTTCTTATTTTGGTGCAGAACTCTGACTGAATTTATCTACATGTTCTGCAACTGTCATGAATAGTGGTTCTGTAGTTAACCGATCGTTAAATATGCAACTGCAAATTCAAAGCCTAAATTCAATTGCTGAATTGAAATAAAGAGGAAATTTAATTTTATATTAAGGAACAAGTTCAGTGCAGCCTTGAGTGTAGAGCTGCCCTCAATTAATTTATAATTCAGTAAGTGCATATAAACTATTTAAATACTTTTTGATTACCAACTTGCATACATGGGCTTTTATTTCAAAGGAATTTGGGGTTTTCCTATAACAAGAAAATTTGGAAATAGAGTTGGAACAGTAAGAAAGCCCTACCAGGATCAAAGCATTAAGCATTGTCTGTGGCTCTTCAATTACTGTTAATAGTTTGATCTTCTGCAGTCACGGAACACACTGCATAATTACCTGCTTTGTGAGGTACTTCCAGTATGGTACCATGTTAACAAACTTGGGCACTTATAGTCCTCAAAAGATGGGTTTCAGGAAGTATGACATTAGCAATAAGACCACTATATTATAGCAGCAATATTTGCAACAACCAAAGGGAAATTCCATAATGTAATAGAACAGATCATTTTCAAGGGCTGGTCTGACTGCATATTTGTTAAAACTGCATGATTTCCTATAAAGTAAACCCTCCCTTTACATGTCATCCAACAATGTGTATCTTTAAAAACTTGATTGAATTAAAAAATAAATTAAAATATATTTGGACTCATGTAAAAAAATGTATGTTTAATCTGCATTTTAACATCTTCATCATACCTAATACATTTCTGGTGTATTTGCAGATCAATATTATGGAAGTAGAAATAAAAGAGTTCAGTTGTATCTTATTTTAAGATGTGTGTGATTTCTTAATAGAATATTCACATAATTCAATCAGCGTGGATCTAAGTAGCGGAGCCTAAACGTTTAGACTTTGTCTTTCAAAAGAAAAGAGATTTGCTGTGATACTTTAGACAAAATGTAGTTCTTGTTTCTAGATGTGAAGTTGGTTTAAAAGATATAGCAGTTAAGTAGCTGCTTTCCAAATCTTAATATTTCAGCAAAGGTTATTTTACCATGAAACTTCACGACACTCTAAGGTAAGTAGCTACTGCAAAAAATATTATAATATCTATTTAATTGGAGAAAAGATATTTTTCCATTGTATTAGACATTATTACTCTAATCAGGCTAAGCTATGTTCTGATAGTTTAGCAGTGAAGAAGATAAACAAGAAGTAAATAGAACACTCTGGTTATGTCTGGTTATCATACTGTTCCTTACAATAGTACAAACAGCACTGGCATTTTCCAAAAAGGTGATTGTATCTTTTGGAAAAGAAAAGATTCCTCTAACTATTAAAAAATACATATTGAGATCAGGCTGAGTAGTTCAGTGCAGTTCCAAAGGCAGAAATGACCTACTTGTACAATAAGAAATATCAAGAGATCCAATTACTGCATAGTAAGGAAAGTTTTTTCTCACCTCTGGGATATACTAAAGAGATCATTGCAGATGGAAGAATTCAGCTGAAGTAGTGTAAATAAGCAGAGTCTGAACAGCTTTATTTGGAAACTTCCTGTGAAATTGTTGGATCTGTAGTACTTTGAAAATCAATATTGTCAATGTTGTCATCATACCAGTATTTGTTATTTTGTCTACATTTTCCTGGATATTACTGGTATGTGCTCACAGACAGAGGAATAAATTCAAGGTATTTTTTATCTGTGTGGAAATATCCATTTTGATTAGTTGCTACTTAGCCCAAAAGGAAAAAATTAAATAACAGGCTTTCTTGAGGAACTCAATGACTTCTTTTTTAGCTCCATTTCTTTCTACAGTCACACTCATTGTCACACTTCTGTTGAACGATCACTAGATGCTGCTTTCTGCTATTCTATGTATCTCCCAAATTATACAAAATGGTAAGCATCTGAGAGCCTGAAGCTAATTGAAAGATATAAATTCGATTGTTTAGGCTAAGATATCTGAACTATCAACTGCTTCTTTGACCTTCCAGCTTCTACCAAACTTTTTTGAGTCTTTTGATGCTTATTTTGTGTTTACCCTACAGGGCTCAATGAATACTATCCAACCAATGCAGAACCAGAATGCTGTGATGTCAGATGGGGACTATTATCAGATCATCAATCCAAAGGGACTATAAAAACAAGTGGCTCAACAATGTGTCATAGGACATCGCTCACAGTTTCATCAGCATCAAGACTGTGTAACAGCAGACTTAAACTGTGTGTTCTTGTATTAATTCTATTACATACAGTACTAACAGTCTCAGCAGCACAGAACTCAACAGGACTGGGCTTTGGAGGCATAACAACTTTGGAAGATAATTCAACCAATGAGGAATGAAAAAAAGGATTCATCCTATATGAGAGAAATACAAGAGGCCCAAGTGACTACAGTCAAATATAAAAATGACTGAGTGCTTTACCCTCAGATATCTTCTTCAATGACCTTTTGGGTAAAAGGAAAAGAATGGGCCACTACCCAAACAAGAAGAACACAAGAACACAGCTTTTTATTGACTAAAAGGCTGTATGGTGACTTAAATTTCTCACACCATTTTATACACTGTGTTTTAATGTTTGGAGTTTCTTTTTTTGTTTGTTTTTTGCACTTGTTAATACAGGATTTTATTTTTGGGGCAGTTTCTCAAAGCTAAATTAAGTCTTTTCTCTGTCAATATATTTCTAGTCATTGTGTGTGTTCATCTGATAGTTCTGTCTTTTATGTCCTGTCAGTTTCTATTAGAGGAATGACTGCTATGATTCCATGGCATAGTAAAAAAAAACAATAATAATAATTAAAAAAAAAAGATAAAAAAAGAAAAAAAGAAAAAAAGAAAAAATACACAAAAAGGAACAAGAAAACAAAATAAAGATTAAAAAAAAAAAAACACAAACAAAAAAAAAAAAAAAAAAGGAAAAAGAAAAAAAAGAGAGAAAAAAAAAAACCAACAAATCTAACTGTCCTCTTACCCATGGGAACCATTCATCTCCTTTCCCCTCCTCATGTCAGACAACATACACTTGCTTCTGTCTGTGTAATCACAATGAATGGGTACACGATTCCAGTGTGCTTCTGCCACTGTTGCACAAACCTGTTGACTGAGCAAAGCCAAAAGGAGCATGAAAGGGGTTCCTTTTAGCTGAACAAATAAGTGCTCTCCTTACAAGGTGGGATCGGACAGTTAAAAAATAAAAAGAAATATATAACAAACTGTTGTTCCAATACCCGTTTTGAAAAGTCCAGTCCTTTCTCACTGGTCAGTTGAACAGGAGCAGCCTTTTTTAGATATGCTATGTAAAACCAGTTATGCTCAGCAAGTTGAATAGTTGGGAAGCCTTCATATTGGAGGTGAAGGATTGGCATTCATTGTGAATTACGTTTTGAGTTCTCCTGCTGTCACATAACCAGCAGCTTTCCATAGGGAATGGGAGCAAAGAGCTTCCAAATTCCAAGTCTTTTTGTCTCAACAAAATTACACTAGAAACCTTTGAACATCTTCAACACAAAGTATCTTTTTGGTTTTTATCCATTATTTTTCTAATATCTATATGTTGTTGAAAGTTACTCTAGTTATTAAGGGTGCACAAGAATGTGTTAGCACAGATAAAGAAACTATTTTGTTTTAAGTCTATAGGACAACAGTTTTCATAAATGTGCAATAAAACAGTAAAGATATACTAGGATATGAGTAGTCAAGAGAAAAGATTGTAATCTGATTGCTGTTTTTTCATTTTTTGGGGTAGCTTATAATTTATTTACTTTTATTTTTGTGGGAACATTTCACCTGCTGAGTGTATGAGAATTTGCTTTTTAAAAAGGCTTTTTAGAGTTTACAGTAGAATCAATGGAAGGAAAAGTTAATAAGGGCTGTTTTTAAAAACTTTACATTCCTTCCTATTCTCTAACTACACTTGGGAAGTGCACTTTAGAGATGTTTGCTGTGTAGCTGGGAGATGAAGGAAGACTATAGGAAATGTTCTCTTAGGAAATAAATTATAGTTATCTACTTTCTAGCTATGAATTACCCCTTGATAAATATTAATGTTGTGAGAACATTTAATCACTGGTGCATAATGTGTTTTTGTATACATTTTATGGTCTGTTAAATTCTGAAGGAAAAAAAAAGATATTAAATCCATGCCATTTAAGCAAGTCAAGACGCACACACTAAATTGCAAAGGCTCGATATTTTGCAAGAGTATTTGTTTTGATAGTGTTTTACTACAACACACACTGAGGAGCCTAAAGTGTGCATATTTGTTCAAATATGACAACAGAAAGCACCAGCTAATGCAAAAGTCTTCAGCACTGGTTTCTTTCTATAACTTCTCCCTTCCCTTCCTTACACATGCTATATTTTGTTCAATAAAACACAATGCATTTTAGTTATTTTAGTTTCTGTTAGAGGCACATGTATTTATTATATTGAATTAATGCAAAAAGAGAGTTAAATGCAGAAATGTAAGTGAAAAAGCCTTAACTAATGGTAGAATGTAGACTTTTGAAAGGATAGAAATGTAATTGAAAAGTGACGGAGCAATAACTGGGCAGTGTTCTGGTACTGTACAACTGCTGATGAGTCACACTCCTGAGAAAGCTCTTACTAGGTGAGCTCTTGTTCAACTGACCTCTTAATTCAAGTGTACATGGTCAGTAAACAGTTTGTTATAACCTTTATCTACCTCTGCTGTGCAAAGGCCATCCAGAATCATTTCTGTGATGTTCCTCTCATATATTTTTTTGTGTTCATGCCATTACTCACTGTCACCTTTCATGCCATGACTCACTGTCATCTTTTTTTGCACTGTACCAGTATACTGGCAAGTCTGGATCATCCCAATTCAACTGGCACATGAGGGAGAGTTTTTATTTCTGTTTTGCCTCATGATGAATTAATGTAGAGTTATTTTTAAGACATTTTCTTTCCTCTCTCCTGCTCTTCTTCATCCTTCATCCCTTATTTTTTCTATAAGAATGTTTTCAAATGGTATCAGTGAAAAGTATGACTCCTTCACTGTTTGGCTACACTCAGACATGTGTCATACAATATGAGATATACAAGGGAAAGCAGTGACAACATCATTACATTCATAAAGTAGCCAATTTAGAGTTGGGCAAGAAAAAAAAAAAAAAAAAAAACAGGAAGTAATTATGGACTTCCAATTATTACATATAATATGTAATAAATTCCTCCCCCTCTCCCCACCTGGAGTCAGTGCCTGCAGTTCAATGGTCTGTAAATTTTCTCTGTCATCTTTCTGAAGTTTGTTTCTTTAATTTTTGAAACAAATATTCATGTTGCAGAGGTGACTTTTGCTGGGGTTTATATTGTCATTTTCACTCCAGCAGTGTGGTATACAGCTTCTCTTGGTGGTACCTGGGACATCAGGAGTAGACAAAGACTCTTCTATGAAGTTAAGCAACATGTAATCATGTATGATGCAGAATTTCATTCCATCCATTCCTCATTCGTACTAGTTTCCCTGGCACAATCTTAAGCATGCTCAATATTGTGCACATATTACTTTTTTTTCCAGAATAAATTTGCATCTTGCCACTGCTATAACTGCCATCTTGTTCCATTTCTCCTTGTACTGTATACCTAATACATACATGATAAAGAACTGGCTTAACAAGCAAGTAATGCTAAAATATTTCTGCAAATGATTGATGAGAAGAAAAAGAAAAAAATATAGAATAATATTTATTTTATAATCATATGGAAAAGATATATTTCCCATGTATTTTATCATCTTATTTTCTGCAATAGGGAAAATCCAGATTCTGTGCAATATGTTAATACTGCTAAGCCAAATGTCATATAACATAACCAGAGCTATATGTTATTCCTTATTGCATTTGCATTTGGTAATACATTATACTGACATATTTCTTTCATTAAAGAGACAGTATCTTTTTTTTTTTCCCTTTTTTTTTTCTTTTTTTTTTTTTTTTTTTTAATATAGCAGATGAAGGCTGTCCTTCTGCACACCATATTTTAAAGACAAAAAGAAAAAGAATTATGATGATGTGTCAGTTCTACAAATGACAAAACCAAGCCATCAGCTGCCAAAGAATCTGTGGAACAGTAGATACAAACCAAACATAGGCTTTCAAGAAATTCCTTCTTGAGGGTTATAAAAATTTTTACTGTAAATGATTAAAAGAGAAAGAATGAGAGCTGTGTATCAAATAGCAGAAATGGCAGGTTTCATCTGGTATGTGATGTGGCTCTTAGCTTACATAGTTATACTCTTCTATTAAAAAGTGAGGGACAAGGACATTGTCTTCTGCTCTCTGTATTTGTTATGATAATGTCCTTTTTGTAAGCATTGCCTCCCGACACAGACGATATGCTTATCATGAGAGCGGAAGGTATGGACACACACACAAATTTACACAGTGAAACTTGTCTTAGGTGACTACCGAAAGCACAAGCAAAACCCATCTGCCAAGTAGAGGTATCTTATGTTGAAACTATTATGTCTTAGGGAATTTTAAGATATATTTGAAAAGTCACCTAAGGAAAAAATCTCTGAGGGGGCCTGGTTCTTACTGCAGCTTTTGCTTACGTGTCATTCGTGCCAAGGTCCTATGATCAGCTCTGCGCTGGCAGGCTAGTAGCCAGACTCAGTTATACTGGCTTCAGTGGGCCTATCTACAGGCACAAGTCTGCACCATGAAAAAGTTCACTGTAGCACATAGGTCTACATTTGTTGCCCCATAGTTTTTGCTCAGGAATTGTTCACAGACATAGTGCACCAGGAAGGGATCACTGGGTTCAGCCCTATCATAGTCTGGGTAGGAGACTGGCAATGGTACATTGGGAATGGTTCTAATACATTATCATTGTCTTCACTGTCTACTGTTTTATTAGTTTAGTGAATGAGTGGCTTCAAAATTTTGCTGGGAACAGATAGGACAAGCTAACAAATCTCATCAATGCAAAATTAAATAACCCTTCTGGGGTAAAGAGAGATTCCATCGTCTGTCAGCAGCAGACAGGAAACAGCATTATTTTAGAAAAGTTTGCAAAAAATAATAATTTCAGCTCGATGATAGATTTCTTAAAAATTATATTTTTGGAGTCAAATAGAACTGGAGTGCATATCATATCAGCTGAGATATTTAATTTGCCAATATATTCTCCAACAACTCTTAGCAATCACATTTACTGAACACTTCTAATTTTTCCAGCATTTTTTTGCAATCATTAACAAACTCTATCTGTCCCTGGAGGGAGCAGAAGGGAGGGAGAATAACTGTGGGAGATGAAACTAAAAGAAAAAGCAGAAATAGATTTGGGCCAACTTGGAAAATCCATCTTCTTCAAAATATGAAAGAGTTGCAAAAAAAAGATGCATATGTAGGTTTATAGCTGCACAAAAAAAATTCTCTTTTAGGAGAGAAAAAAAAGTTTTCTCTGCAATTATTACAAATACAGCATATTGCAGAATAAATATACCAAAGGATATGACCTATAAAATAAACAGGGCAAAAAAAAAATTGTATTAGCAGGAATATCATACTATAGATTGTGAATTTCCAGGTAGAATTTCAGTGACATAAATATGTTTTTTGATATGAAAACTTTAAAAAAATTAAAAAAAAAAGCAGGGGCTGAAGGATTATACTAGGTTATTCTATCATTTTAGGTGTAAGCCTCGATTATGCTT